AACCATGTTCTCTTCTTTGGAGCATTCTGGCCGTACTTCTTCCAAGATGGAGTTGTTTATTCTCCTGGCAGCCCATGATATGTGTAACATTCTTTGCCAGCACCATCATTCAGAGGCATCTCCTTATTCATTGTAGGCATCAAGAAATAGGTACGAGGTCATAACTTCTGAGGGAAATTACATAATCAGGTTTGGGGCCGGGGTGGCACACACAGTTTGTATTCCACTGCTAGCCTAACGAGTGACTTCCATGCTAGTCTAAAGAGGATCACAGTTCAAGAAGAAAAAGATTGGTAGTAGTTCAACCCTAGCCAGCAGTACCAGGGAAGGAAGACAGGCCAGGCACTCTGCTGGTGTCAGTATTACAGCCTAGAAACCCTCCGTAGTGTTTCTGCATCGGCACTCGCGGCCACCATGAGTTGGAGTCCACCTGCTGGCAGTGGGCTTGGTTTTCTTTCTTGTCCCTGGAGAGAGTGGACTGGACGGAGGAGGAGAACCCGAGCCTCCAGCTGCTATCGCGTTAACTGTGGCACACAGCCACCCACGTGTATCAGAATGGTTCTGGCACCACACGGTTCAGGGGCTGGCTTTTCTGGAGGTGGATTGCCAGGCCTTTCTTTTGTGGCACCTCTGGGTGGACTTGAACCACCATCCTTTCAGTTAGCAGCTGAGCATGTTCACCATTGACATCATTCAGGGACTCCAGAAGCTGGAGGTAGGTGGCCAATTAAGAGGTGACATTGAAATAATCCTGGTAAGTAGTAGTAAGACCTGAGCCACTGTGCTAGCCTGAGCCATCTTGAGAAACAAGACTACACTGTCTGCCTGTCTGTCTGTTTATCTGTCTGGCCATCCATCCATCCATCCATCCATCCATCCATCCATCCATCCATCCATCTATCTATCTATCTATCTATCTATCTATCTATCTATCTATCTATCTAGAAATGCCTCACAGCGGGCATGTGCAGTCCAAGTTCTGCGGGTCAGCTGTCCTGACTTGAGTAGCTGTCAGGGGCTAAGAAGGCAAGAGCACCACAGGCTGATAACAGCCTGCAGAGGAGGACGCATCCAAGGTTAGTAGGTCAAGCTTGTGACTGGAGAGTTGAGTGGATCCAAGGTGAAGATCAGAGGGCAGGCCACTGAGGACTCTCAGCATCAGCAGGCAATATAACAGACTGGAGGTCAATGAGCCAAACCCAGCAGGATCCAGACCCAGCCACAAGCAAGTAACCTTTTTCATAGTGTTCTCTGACATAGGAAGTAGACTCCACTCCTGAGGAAGCTGCCTTTCAATTTCATTGGGGCAGCGACCGGAGTAAAGCGAACGATCCCATCCTTCACCTACGGAGTGGCTGGTGGGTTTGAACTGCTGACTCACCACCAGGGCTCTGTGACCTAGTGTAGGAGGGAAGTATTCTCTTTTTCCCAACAACCTCCTCTCCAGATCTTCCAGGAAGCTGGATTCCTGCTGCTTTGCCTAAAGGACCTCACTATTCTATCGCATGTTGGGCCACTATGAGCCAGAATCTACTTGACGGCAGTGGGTTTTGGTTTATTTTTTGGCCATTGCTTTCTAAGCGCCCTCTAGATACCACATGTAGCATTTGATTGTGTCTGTTCATCTGGACCCCCTGGAAGGTGTAAGATTAGCGTGCTTGGTAGCTAATCAAAAGGCTGGCCATTAGAACCTATGGAGAGGTACCCCAGAAGATAGGTCTGACAATCCCCTTCAATAAAAGCAGCCATGGAAAGTCCTGTGGAGTCTACTTTGACATGCATGTGGTTACTATGAGGGAGAACTGACTCAATAGTGGTCTGCCTGGCAATTGCTTCTGGTAAACCAACCTTGTCTGTGGTTTAGCTGGGATGAGCCCAGAGTCAAGCTTGTGTCATGTACTTATTTTTGTGTTGTCACCACAGTGCCAGCCTAGAGAGGAGACATACACTAGGCATTTATTCGCCAGTGTGACAGTGTCCTCTGTTTTCCTTCCAGGCGTGAGAATACGTGAACCTGTCATAAGAACATTTGTGAAGAAACACGATCATTGGAGCGATCCTCATTTCACAATGGAAGTCCCTCCAGGACCCATGTTTACAGAGATGTTTGCGTTTGGGGACAGGCTGGAGATGCAGCAAGAGCTTTTCCCAGGGGAAGACCTGGGGACGTCTTTTCTTCAGGACCGAGGCTTGGAGCATATGTCTGTCATCTACAAGGAGATCCCTCTTGGTGAGGAGTGTGAGGATTATGGGGGCAATTTCAGTTTGTGCTCCAGCCCCATTCAGCATCAGAATACCCCCCTAGCCCCTAGCTTCCAGGATGATGAGCTGTTTGACCAAACCTTCCTCCAGAAGCCAGACCTCAGCCTGTGTCAGATAGTCCACCCTGGAGAAGACTCTGACAAGTGTGATGGCAAGAAAGCAGGCTGGGCACGCGTGAGGCTTAACAACCCTCACAGAGTGGACCAGCCAGTCAAGCCCTATGTGTGTCGGGAGTGCGGGAAGGCCTTCAGCCAGAGCTCCCACCTGCTGAGACACCTGGTGATCCACACAGGGGAGAAACCCTATGAATGCTCCGAGTGCGGCAAGGCCTTCAGCCAGAGCTCCCACCTGCTGAGGCACCAGGTCATCCACACTGGAGAGAAGCCCTATGAGTGCCCGGAGTGCGGCAAGGCCTTCCGCCAGAGCTCTGCCCTCACACAGCATCAGAAGACCCATACTGGCAAGAGGCCCTACGAATGCAGGGCCTGCGGGAAGGACTTCAGCCGGAGCGCCAGCCTCAGGAAGCACGAGCGCATCCACACTGGAGAGAAGCCATACCAGTGCCAGGAGTGCGGAAAAGCCTTCAACCAGAGCTCAGGTCTTAGCCAACATCGGAAAATCCATACCTTGAAGAAACCCCATGAGTGCGAGCTTTGTGGGAAAGCCTTCTGCCACAGGTCCCACCTCATCCGGCACCAGAGGATCCACACTGGGAAGAAGCCCTACAAGTGTGAGGAGTGTGGGAAAGCCTTCAGCCAGAGCTCCAACCTCATCGAGCACCGGAAGACCCACACAGGCGAGAAGCCCTACGGGTGCCACAAGTGTGGGAAAGCCTTCAGCCAGAGCTCCTCTCTCATTGAGCATCAGCGGATCCACACTGGGGAGAAGCCCTATGAGTGTGGCCAGTGCGGCAAGGCCTTCTGCCACAGCTCAGCTCTCATCCAGCACCAGAGGATCCACACTGGGAAGAAGCCTTATGCCTGCAACGAGTGTGGGAAAGCTTTCCGGCATCGGTCAGCCCTCATTGAACACTACAAGACCCACACCAGGGAGAAACCTTATGAGTGCAATACATGTGGCAAATCTTTCCGGGGCAGCTCACACCTTATTCGGCACCAAAAAATCCACGCTGGGGAGAAGCTGTGGCAGGAAGAACGTGGAGCAGAATAGGCTAGCTGTTACTGGGCAGAACCTGTGTCTGTATTGCTCTCTGTAAGACCCTAACTGCCTCCCTGTCAGCAGCACCCAGTGAAGGCCTTCTCATTCCTGTGCCCCTAAACATCCATAGGAGCAGGGGAGCCCTTGTGGCACCCAGTAAGGAGCTCCAGGCTTGGCAGATCATGGAGTGGATGGGAGGCTGGGGCGCTAGCAAGGTGGTGGAGATGGAGGCCAGCTGAGAGAGAGAGTTGGTTTACAGTTTTCGTTCTTCTCTGAAGCCTATGAGATTGCAGTTTTCCCTCTTGATTCGCTTCTTCCAGAACCCAGAAGGAGAAGAAAAATACACACCAGAAATAGAAAGGAGAGGCAAACCCATGGAAATATCAGATATGCACTTTAATGCTAAGCCTCAGGGGGGTGTTTCAGCAGGCTGGGCTCACAGCCCACACCAACAGAAGAAAACCAAATTCTAAGGCAGATCTATCAGCAGGCAAAGTGGAATTGACCTGGGTCAGGCACTGTTGGGGCAAACAGCAGGTTAATAAAGACGAGAAGGTTCTTGGAAGGATTGGTTTTGGGGCCGGAGGCTGGGCCTGTGCATCTCTGTTAGAGGGCAGCTTCTCTCAAAGGTTTTATCACAAAGGGAAGGAGACTGCTGGTTTTAACTCGGCCTCCAGAATAAGCCCTTCACAATACCCTTTGAGTGGGACATCAGGGCACCCTGCTGGTCTGCTGCTGTGCAATACCCTCTTGTCCGCGTGTTGGGGTGGGGAGCAGGGGGGAGGAGGCTGTGGTTCTGGAGTCAAAAGATTTGAGGTCAGATTCCAGTTATGCCCATTCCTTCCAGCGTGATCTACGTGTGTGTGTGCTCCACATCTCCATCCTGCACACACCTAGGCACCATGTTCCTGTATCTTCCCTTCCAAGTCCACCCAGATTCCTTAGGACTTTACATCCCACCAGTGCGAGAGTCCTGGGATCTAGCTGTGCACTGCCAAGGCCTGGCATGAATTCCCCACGCAGAATGAGGCCACACTGGAAAGTGCTCTGGAATTTGAATCATTCCAGATGGCAGCTGCGGATGGAGACCCATGTGGCCCCCCTCTCACTCAGAGATGTTGCCTTCAGACTGGTGGGGCATCCCTGTTCTATTCCCCCCAAAGCAGGGGTTTGCAGGAGATCCTTCAATCGGGCCTTCCTGCATCCCTCAGGTCTGTACCTGGCTCAGGTCTGTGTGTGTATGCTCCATGACCCCATCCTGCACACACCCTGACACCACGTTCCTGTATCTTCCTTTCCACTCTACAGCCCACCAGCAGATACCTGAAGGCTGTTTTAAGAGTGCCATTGTGGGGCCCATCAAGACCAATTGCATCCACACCCCCAGAGCTGGGCCCAGACACGGCACACTCCGAAAGTCCCCTAGAGGATTACAGTGTATAGCACCGCCAGGTTGTCTCAGTGCCCCCAGGGTGGCCTCTGATATTGATTGTGTCTGGGATGCGAGCGTTGGGCCACAGGGGCTCCACAGAGCTGGCTCAGGAGGGAGCAGCCTGTCACCTATGTCCAAGTTTCTCTAAAGTGCATGTCCAAGCTCCCAGGCAATGCCGGTCTCAGCTGATGAGAAGCTTGACTTGGGAGTGGTGTGTAGTTTTGATGAATAAACAGGGAAAATAATAGTTACTTAGCAAATGGGGGGCATGGTAGGGCTTCCCAAGTATGGGGCTGGTGGGTTGTGATGGGGATGGAATGGCATGGGATGGTTAGGATGTGGGGTCCGGGAGGATTCCTAATAGTTCAGATGCTAAGAACTTGAGTGGCTCCTCTGTCCACCTCTTGTGTGTGAGTCCACGGAGCACGTAGCCAGCAGTTCACGTGTCCAGAGGGTCACCATTCGTTTACCAGGAATGAAGACAGAACGGGGTACTTGGGAGGTGCAGCGTGAACGTGCTTGGCAGTGAACTGAGAGATTGGCTGTTGGTCAAAGCCCTCCCAGCTGCATCTTGGCAATCTACTCTGGAGACTGGCTGCTGCAAACCCTACAGAACACAGCTCTGCCCCCCCCCCCCCCCCCCACTAGGGGCACTGAGTGATGGCAACTGGGAGAAATGCAGAGATGCCTTTAGCTAGGGCCTCAGGAGATCATTCTCTATAACCCCCCTCCCCCCATCCCAGTGCACCCCTATCCTTCAGCCAGCCCCTCTACAGGCCTCCCTCCCACCCCTTCCAGGGCACCCCAACCAGACTGATTTCTTAAGGCCTCACCTTGCACATGCCACCGTTCTACACCAGCCTTCTCACGCAGCCTTGGCTAGGCAGTCTGCTCCGCCACCTCTGAGTGTGCCACGGAGTTCACAAAGCCCTGCCAGAAATTACCCCACCTCATTCCAGTCTGGCCTCACACCCTGGAAATATGCACTTTCCCCTCTCTCTCCCCTTGACAATTTATGAAACAGTGGAGTAGGATAATCCCTGTTCTGAAGGTTTAGGGGCCTTGGTCATGCAATGGTTTAAAGTGCTCAACTGCTAACCAAAAGGTCAGCAGTTCAGTCCCACTGATTCCTTCTGAGCAGTTTAACCTCTTCACTGTAACGTTATTTTAAAATACTTTTTATCTAGATGTGTAGAAAGTATAGTTGTATATGAGATTGCCTTCTGTATTATTTTCTTCTTCCTTGGATATAGTTTTATTTTTGGTGTTTTAGATTTCTTTTCCATGGCAGTGGTGTATTTAACTGTGTTTGAGTATTATCAAGGAGCCCTGATGATGTGATGGGTCATGAGTTAGGATGCTTATCACAGTTAGTTGGAATCCACTGGCCCCTCTGTGGGAGAAAGACGTGGCTTTGCACGCCTGTCAACAGTTGCAGTCTTTTGAACTCACAGGTCAGAATAGAACTGATACTGAGTTTGAGTGTTGTAAAAACTACAAGTCTTGATTTATTCACTGATCTAATTGTTTTGTCAAATTATATGTAGTCTCTTTTTACTTAATGATCCTAAGATTAACGACCGAGATATAATTACTGAGATTTTTGTCATTTCCATTAAGTGTGGGCACTTGGATCAATACTTTGTCAGCACTCTGGAAATTTTGACGTATGGTACCTTTTGTTATTAGAAATTTCCTTTTGGCCTAATTGTTACTTAAAACATTTTATTTCCAGGTGATGAATGCTCACGTCATTTCTGTTGATTTCTCACTGCTCTGTAGTGCACAGTGTCTCTGAGTGGCAACACACCTTCTCCGACATGGGCATATTAACCTAGTTCCACATAGGTAATATTTATATACTCTCAAGAAAAGGCCTTTCCTTCATCAATTCTCTGTGTTAGTGGAGCCCTGGTGGTGTAGTGGTTAGGCTTTGGGCTGCGATCGCATGGTCAGGTTCAAAACCACCAGCAGCTCCGCGGGAGGAAGGTCGGTCTTTCTGCTCCTGTAAACAGTTGCAGTCTCAGAAACCCATCGGGGTCGCTGTGAGTCAGCGTTGACTCGACGGCGGTGAGATGTGTTCAGAAACCTTTTTGATTATTAGAACCGATACTGTCACTTCAGAGCTCTCATCCTGGACACATGGACTAGTCCAGGGGTTGGTGGCCCCGGGTATTGCGCAGAGCTGTAAGGGGGCCTGTGTGGTGCATCAGGTCCAGCC